TCAGGATGATGACATGCTAAAATTTAAGGTATTAGTGTCAAATAAAAAGAGGTTAGGCAGAATACCGTATGATACCATGGAGATACAGTAGGTACTAGTAGTAAGTAGTAACCTCTTTCGTACCCAACAGAGGATTTGCGTCCATGTAGGTCGCTCCAGTTAGGTAGAATTCATGATGTATATTAGGTATGGAGTAGATATGTAACCAATGAATCAACTATATCCGTGGATGTACACTGCATATGTACGTTTAGTAGGGGCGCATGACTCGACTCGGTTGTAGTATGACAACTGTTCCCTGCTTATCAACGTCGCCGACATACATCCGACGTATCTCATAGGAAGCAAAATAAATAAGCAAAAAAAAAATAATATCACCCAATTATTAGTCTCATGTCGATGCCTGCTTTTCTGCCTTGACATAAGAACATGCGAGACGACAGATCAAATTCATGAGTAGATCATCGTGACTGGTCATGGAAGATGGTCCAATCAAAGGGGATTAGGGGTTCAGTAATTCTGCCGGTTCCCAATCGATAAAGCAGCGGACCTTTACCGCTTAGCCCGACAGGGAATCGACTATATCAGGGTTGCAAATTTGAAAGTCTGGGCCCCCCGTCGTGTCGGGTTTAGTTAGTTAGGGACTAAATTGGTTAGGTAATTAGACAATATCTGCCTCAGGCAGAAGTCCTGGATGCCTACTGAACTAACCATCCCTTGTGCAGGCGGTCAAGCCCGTAGCTGGCACCACTGGCTAGTCTAACTACTTAGTCTTTTAGGCTTTCTTTTGAGAGGTCAATGCGAGCTCAGTATGGCCTCGTTAGTAGCGGGGGACGATCATAAGGTGCAGTATGATAAGACCGGACAAAATCAACGTTCGCGAAGTCACTACTGGTACACCACCCTTGGAGTTGTCAATGTGAGATTGACATGATCAGTGAAACTCGGAGCTGTAACTCTGTAGGACAGGAACCTCATTGGGTTGTATTGAGAATAGTGGCAGGGTAGAACAGTGCATCTGAAGAGCTGAACTAGGGTTTCATCGGGGCCAGGAGATATCGATCAAAGATCTGGACCAGGAAGAGGCGGAGTGATCGGTATATGTACCTAGTGGTAGGAGTTCTTGAACCAGTCAGCAACGGATCTATAAATAGCCCGGGCGGCGGTTAGAAGCTCGCCAACGGCGGCTGCCCGTAGCCGCCGACAGGTCCAGTGATTAAGAAGTTTCCCACAGTCGATGTCTATCTTTAGAATCTTCTGCATCACCCGCGTGTCGCCGCTCCAACCATCCAGCCTTTCTCATCCATCCATCCTTCGTATCCCATCCCAGAATTGACTTTGGCTCATCTTATCTGTTGTTCTGTCTCTCGTTTTTACCTTGGTGACCTGATCTAGTCCTTGCCTGCATAAGGGGGTCCCTTGTTCTTCTTCTCTCCGACCGGTAAGACGCCGTCGCCCTTACGCGCTCCGTTGGTTCATCCCTCCAAATAGCGCTGTGCCAATCTCACCCCTCTTGTCTATCTGTACCCTCGCATTCTTTCTCATCCTTTTCTTTGTCCCCACTTCTTTTGGGAGATTTTGAAACGTTTTATTAACGGCCTTTCGTTTTTATTATAATTATTTTTTAAATCTTTCTGTCTCTTAAATTAAAAAGAAAATTAAAGGGGGGGGGGAAGTCACGAAAGGAGCCTAGCAAACACAGTCGTTAATCCACCGTGCTCTGGAATTCCTTTTTCCTTTTTTTCTTTTCTGTTTTCCTTTTTGGCGCTTCCCTGGGTTTCAACTCGCGCCACTAATTCATACAAAGACACATACATTCACGTCTACTCGCTATTAACCTTGCCTTCGGTGTTTCACCTACGCTCTTTACCCTTGTGTGATACGCTCACACTGTATCCCTCATGGGTCGGCGAAAGATCGAGATCAAGGCGATCAAGGATGATCGCAACCGTTCAGTGTAGGTCACATCCCATACTTTATCGCTGGGTGCAAGTTGAAGAGCTAACATGATGCCCTGGTCTATAGTACTTTTCTGAAACGGAAGGGTGGTCTCTTTAAGAAAGCGCATGAGCTCGCGGTGCTATGTTCAGTAGATGTTGCTGTCATCATATTCGGTCACAACAAGAAGCTATATGAGTTTTCATCATGTGATATGCGCGAGACCTTGGGTCGTTATCAATATGTTTGTCTCCTCTCCAACTGTATGATGTCGAGTCAACTTGTTAACACGGCATGCTTTGCCTTTAGTTCGGCCCACCACACGAGCATAAAGGCCCAGAGGACTTTAACGGCCGGCGCGATGACGACGACGATGAAGATGAAACCACACCTGCCCCTGAAGAAATGCATCCAACACCACCGCAAAATAACCCTCCGATGATACCCACTCATCTTCCTAGTCATCCCGGCTTCCAACATGTTAATCATGCGCCTTCCGCGTCCCCTCCCATTGGCAATGGACTGCCGTTTGATCCGCGTCACGGTACCCCTCAACCTCAAGGACTTTCAAGACCATCCTCCAGGAATCATGTTCGCAGAGTCAGTTCCAATATAGGTACCCAGCAACACCATGCTACACCACCGCCACCTCAGAATGGATTTGCCTATATGCCCAACCCTTCTGTGTATAACCCGAATGCCCACCACGCTTTAGGTCAACAACCCCGACCCGGTCAGTTTGCGCACTTTGGCCCTCCGCATGGCGTACATCATGCAGCCCCGCATCATCAGCATCAGCCTATGCCGCCGCACACAATGCCGCCCCAAGCAATTCCATCGCATATTCAACAGCATCCCCAGCATCCGCATATTCTTGCACAGCAAACACCTCCTATGGGTTTATCGCAACCGCACCATCCGCAAATGTCCCAGGTCGCCCAGGCATTTATGCCAGAACAGGGAAGGAGTTCCATGCCGCCCGCGTTCCCGCCGGAGCAGCAACAGCAGCAGCAGCAACAGCCACAGCCCCAGCAACAACAACAACAACAACAGCGGACGGTATCGCTTCCCGAAGCCCCTCCAGCAGACCAGATGCCTGGACCGCTGAAAGCCGAGGACAGCCAGTCACCGCCGCAGCAAAGGTCGATATCGTCGAAATCACGTAGTATCTTTACGCCGATTGATGATCGCGGTTCGGTCTTGGCTCGTCACTTTGGAGTCGGTCCACCTACGTCGCCGCGCAATGAGAGCTCACAAGTGAAGCTTGAAATTTCACATAACGAATCAAAGGACAAGAAGGGACTCAGCCAGCCAGTGGCGCCTCCGCCTCCACCACGAGCCGCGACTGAGGCGCCGCGTCCTCAGCCGGTGCCTGAGATCAAGCCTCCCGTTCGGACGAACAGCGGTCAGTTAAATACGAAACGTCCACAGCTGAAGGTGCAAATACCCAGCGAGAATTCGGACCGGGGCAGCGCAACAGCAGATTCATCCTCCCGCGATTCCGCAGGGAATAAGACACTTACACCAGCGAAAGCCAATCCTGACGGCAACCATTCCGGTGTAGTGTTACCTCCGCCTTCGCCTTCTGCCGGTGCCATTCTCAGTGCAGGCGCTCAGGGACCACCGAATCCGTTTGCCCGGCCACCTCCCCCTAGCACAGCTGCTCAGAATAACAATGCATATAGTAGTAGCAACAACAACGGCAACAACATAGAGACGCCGATATCTGCACTTCCTAGCCGCTTCGTGTCAGATGCACTTCTTCCTTCTCCATCTAGTTTCTTCCCTGAATGGGGTTTTGGCCGGTCTGGTCCGGACAGTAACATGCTTCCTAGTCCTCTGACCTTCCCCACTCCTGCCGTTCAAGCAGGTCCCAGTTTTGCGCGTGAAGACGATCAAGAGAAAAAGCGCAAGAGCCCCGATAGTGGACCAAGTGCGGAAGGGGCACCGAAAAAGGCAAAGACATAGTCTCCCTTGTTGTCTAGAATGATAATTGCGGTCTTGTTCTTTCTTTCACTGTCTCAACTATGGCATCGTGTGGCGTTAAGGAAGGTATGAATACCTAATCGGGTGAGCGAGTTGGATATGTCTCTTTTGTTCATTGGATATCATTTCCCCTTTCCAGTCCTCTCTACTTTCGCCGTGGCTTCCGCTTCCTTTCCACTGTTATACCCTTTCCTTTTGCCGTTGGATCTTATTGGCAACCTCGCCTTAAGCGCTTGTTTTCGAAAAGCTCTTTCCGCATGAGATTCTCAGTCTCTCGTCTTTCCCATCTCTCGACCAGGACAGAACAATCTTTGGCTTTCTTTCTATAATCACTTGGGGATGGCGTTCTAGTATCTGTTTATTTTATCTTTTAAAATTCGGTAATGTATATAAGGATGTTTGGATAGGAATAAAAATGTTGAACAGGATAGTCCGGCCAAGTTGGGTATCGTGGTGAGTTCACCGCTATATATGTGGTTGCCGTAGAACGACCGAGAAAAGTTAAGTGACTGCTCCATCCATTTCAGGTGGATCATCCGAGTAAACTTAAAAGCACGGTACCAATTGAACAGGACTGAATCTACGATCGACTGCCTAAACCGGCGTATACTCACGTCATTGCCGATAAAGTTCAGATTAAGTTTGCAGTCCCAACCATATCGCATTGACGTAAGCAGGTATACATCAACTTGGCACCAGCAAACCCTTATGTACCTAATACATGGGATCTAGTACAGTTGCAGGATGTAAGTGATGATGTGCAGCTTACTAAGTATAGTACACATAACTACCTACTGAACAATCAAATTGTGTAAGAACTACTGTGTATGTATGTACATACGTGTGATAAGGTTATCTGTCGGAAGGCTCCGGTTGTTTAGCAGTGATGTCATTTTAAATACTTAATGTCTTGGTCCTATGGAGCTTCTGGTGTAGAGGTAAGGTACTAACTAGTAAGAGAATAATAGTTCTCGACAATGAATTGGTCTTATTCTGTGTTGAAAAAAAAAAAAAAAAGTTGAGCAAACTCTTTTCTGCAAGCTTTGCTAAATCCTTAGATGGTAATCTCTGCGCTGAATCTGTATGCATGTATGTATTTACTCCAGTTCATCATTTTCCAATATAATATACATAATTTCAGTAACTCCAGCTATCAAGCAACTCCAAAGATCCATGTTGAAGTGGGTATAGCAAGACATTAAGGTAATTCAATAAGCAAAAACCAGTAAACTTTTTTTTTTTTTTCTCTTTTCATGGTCTGAACATGCTCATAATACCCACCAGGAGTATTGGCAACTCAATCATTATGGGGATAGGGGACGTCAGTCTTGAAGAAAAGAGCAAGAAGGGTTTATTATGCGTGTAGACTGTAGCGTGTATGTTTATGAAAAGAAAAGAAGGGAGGGGGGTCTTATACGGTCTCCTTGGATTCGGGCTGAGGGTCGCCTCTTTGCGCGGCTAGGATCTCCTGTCTTGCGCGTTCTTGCTCTGCTAGACCCGTCTTGGTGAATGTGTGTGCCTTGCTGAGCACGACGGGTCTGATGAGTAGACTGACTAGTAGTCCGAAGCCGATGATGGCCGTGTAGAAGATCCACATCCGGCTCAGGGTGAAGGTGTATGATTTTAGGACGACATTCTTTTGGACTTCCGGGAGTGCTCTAATGAGGTCGCCCTGAGAACCGGAGAAGGAGGACGCGAGCGCGGTGGCTTTCTCGGGCCCGATCGCGGTTGAGATCTTAGGCATTTGCTGGCGGAGGACATTTTGATACACGACGGTACCGAGGACGATGGACATGGCGGCGGAGGTTTGGCGAAGGAAGCCGAACGTGGAGGTTCCGGCGGCGACGTCACCACGGTGGATGTTAGCCTGGAGGGCAACGAGGGGTGCCTGGAAAACGGGGCCGGAGCCAAAGCCGGCGATTAGTTGATAAATGATGATACGAGGCCACGAGGCGTAGTATTTCAGGTCAATGAGGAGTCCGTAGCCGAGAGTCATGAAGAATAATCCACCCACGATAAGCTCGCGGTAGCGGCCGGTCTTTTTAATGATAAAACCAGTGCATGCGGAAGTGAATGAAAGGCTGAGAACGTTCGGAAGCACGTAGACACCGCTCATTATAGGGTTGGCGAGAAGTACAGTCTGAAAATAGAGCGGGAGGTAGTAGGAGCCTGCGATAAACACGAAACTGTGGCAGAAGCAGACGAGGAGGACCAGGATGTTGTGCCAATTCGTGAAGAGACGGATCGGTATAACGGGGTATTTTGCGACCTTCCATTCAACCACCATAGCGATGGCCCACGCTACTACTCCGAAGACGATGAGGCAGATGACAGTGGCTGAGTCCCAAGGGTAAGTGATGCCACCGTACTCCAGACCAAACAAGAACATGAGCGTCCCTCCCATGATCAAGACGATACCTATCCAATCAATGGCTTTTAGACCGGCTAGAAGCGGGGTTTTTTCAGCCTCGATCTTAAGGAACAGAACGAGGATCACAAACGAGACGCCTCCAATGGGCACTGGTAAACCACATTAGCATAGTTCGGCCTGCTGCTCGCCGGCTTCCTTACAATTTATATAGAAACACCAACGCCAAGTAACGTTGGTAGTGAAGGCGCCTCCAACGATAGGGCCTAGAGCACCTGCGATTGCCCATGTAGATCCGAAAAGACCGTAATACATCGGCCGTTCTCTAAAGTATAAATCAATTAACAATCATCCCTCGAAGGGGAGAAAGCATAGACAAGATGACTTACCGGACACTGAACAAATCAGAGACACAGATATTCACCAACACGATGATACCCCCACCTCCAACACCTTGAATGGCTCTACCCACCAGAATCATCGGCAGATTAATAGCCAACGCGCAGATCAAACTACCTACGAGGAAAGTAAAATTGGCCAGCAACAGAATCCGCTTTCTGCCCCAGATGTCACTAATTTTACCCCAGAGAGGCACCGCGGCAGCATTAGCAAGCATATACGACGAAGCCATCCATGAATATCCACTCTCCGAGGCATTGAAATGAGAGGCCATTGTTGGCAGGGCCGTGGAAATGATTGTCTATACCAGTCAGTTTACATCCGAACTATGACGACATATGCGAGCGATCCCGTCACTTACCATATCTAAAGCTGCTAGGAACAGGACTAACTACAGGTTTCAGAATGGTTAGCCGTTATTGCATCAAAGATGTACTTGAGGAGTAGAAAAGCAAAAGTAAGTTCTTACACAAAGCGCCGCCATGACAACAACGATCTTCTTCTTCCCCAGCTTCTGCGCCTGGGAAGGCACTCGGCCCAGCGAGGCGCCGGTTGCGACTTTTTCCATCGTTCCATCACCGTTCGATTCATCCGGATGCCTTTCCTCTGAAGATTGACGATGGTGGTTCGAAGTGTCGGTGTCCGCCAAGCTAGGGTCCAACTCCACCGGAGCTATTTTGTCGCCCGTTACAATCTGACCATTGCTGGGTGTGTGGGTATCATGTTGATCCCGGTCTTCAATGGGATTAGAAAGCGCCTTCATTCTTCACGATGTAAGAATGCACGGCCCGTCGAGAATGAAATTGGATCAGACTTGACTTAACAGGCGAGGATTTGGCCGCCCTGTTGAGGAGAAAGGGACCAAAAATGCTCCCAATCTGGTGTGGCGGGCAGATCCGACATTAAAAGACCAAGTGACTCAGGGATATAGTAAAGGATCAACATAAAGAACGAGGAAAGAAAGGCCACAGAACACCGAGGAGAAACGAGAAAAACTCTAGCGCAGCCGCTAATGGATTCCTATTTGTGGTTGCTAAGACGTTTCGGCGTGAATGAGCCAACCAAAGTGAGAGAGGATGCGGTCGAGACTTCAGTTACTATAAATGAGAAGTACGGAGTATCTATAACGTTGACTAAGTTGTCGGTCTTTCGGAAGGGTCCCGAGTCTTTCGGACTTAAAAAGATTTCAACGACCGACTCCCCGAGGGATCTAAAACAGCAAAGATCAAGATGTACTCTGTACATGAATGATTGTCTTTTTCTTTGGGGGGGGGGGAGATCGGAGATTTTAATTTTAATTTTCCTTTGATTTATTATCTTGCCCAAACAAATAATTCTCCACACAGCATTTAGATTTATGCAAGTCGGAGAATTTCCCAAGGAATGACATGCCATGACATCCATCCCAAGAAAGGCTTAGGGGGCTTTTTTTTTTTTTTTTTTTTTTTTCACTGAAGTCGTACACCGTATTCATTACCAAATCAATTGCAAACCGGTCCGTATTCTTATCATGAGGTACTGCAGTTTTATAGTACAGGTCAATGCAGCCTTTTAACACAAAATCATCACTACCTACAAGTAGGTAGCATGCAAGTACACCGAATACACTTTGCATGCCACTTTTTGCTGGATCGCCGGTGCTTGAATTATGATGCTCCATAAACAGGGTATAATAGTAGAACAACCAGAAAAGATTAACGCAGAGATGCACAAGAACTCCTTATCCACCCTCTAGTCCTGTAGTTGCAGGATTTCTGTACGTCATTGCGTCAGTAACTGGCCAAGGTAGAAAGGCAAAAAAAA